ACACACACACACACACACACACACACACACACACAGACAACCTCTCGTCAATATGCGTTTTCCGCACTGCATGGTTTCAAAAAACATATAAAAATTAAAGTGTTTTTCATTGCCAAGGGCGGAGTGGGGAGTGGGGGGGGAGGGGAGAGGATACTCTGGAAAATGATAAAAATACTTCCCAAAATAATGATAATACTTCCCAAAAAGCTAAAAGCACTCGCTCGAAAGATTTCTTCTTCGGAAAATTATAAAGTTTGTTGAAGGCGGCTCTTGGTTTCCAAACATTTAGGCATGCCAGTACCAACTTATCGTGCACCCGAATTTCAACTATTCCTAGGAAGAAACCGTGTTATGTTAAAAAATATTAGGCACACCTAACGCGATTTTTCTTTTATATAAATTGAAATTTACGCTTACTTCCAGGGCATTCACATCGTCAATTGTTGGTTCACCATTCGGAAATGTTAATGGGCGTATTTCAATAATATGTTTTAAGGGCCACAGCTCCGCATTTTGTGATGCCGTGTTCTTGAATATAAACATTTTACCAGGCTGAAAAAAAAAGCAATTTCAGAAACAATTAGCATGAAACTCACTAAGAAAAGCAGAAGTTTATGGGTAAAGGAAAGGATGAATGGGTAAATGCCGGTACCTTCAAAGACCAAAGATGCATCAGCGGTGATAAAAAGCAAAAAATTTGTAAAAAGAAACTACACCCAAATTTTTTGGGTTTGTGCTTTTTAATATTTTTAAGACGGAGTAATTCACTTACTTCAGCATTTTTTCCAAACAATTTTTCGACTTTTTTTCTGATATAAGCTGGATCTTTCAAGTAATTCCTGTAAATCCATGCCAGCCATAATTTTGGAGGCTTACCTTCCATCTGAAAATTCCAATTCTTCATAAACATTTCACTAAAAGAATAATTTTTCAATTTAAAAATTTGTTCTGTACTCTTCAGAGGGAAAAAGAAAATTAAAGCTATCAGAAAATTTACCACCAAAATTCCACAGATTGTAACATCATATAGTCTAAAACCTACCTCATCAGATGATCCAAGAAGCAATTTCAAAAGGAAGATTTTCACCCGTCAGGGTGAACAAACATGCCAATTCCTCCGTATTCGATCACTATGAGAAGTTGAGGTGCTAAGAAGTAGCCGAATGGTAGCAAATGCCTACAGCAACCACTCGCTGGCAAAAATGCTGATGTCTCCCTTCTTCGAGAATTGTTTACTAGCAATCATGGCATATGCCAGTACCAATTTATTATCGAGACGAAAGAGTAGCTGTCCACCGGTACAGCTCTCGATCCGCTCTGCATGATAACACAGTGCTGCTTCCCAACAAGCCTTGCCCGCTGGCATGATTTTTATAAGAAATGCATCACTAATTACATCATTTTGAGGTCTGTATTCTGGACGAATTTTATTCTCGAAATCAATATCTTATGAATCAAAAAAGAAACCCTTCCAGTTTAACAGGACCCTCAAAATGTTTCACCGATTCATGCCTGGACAGGAAAATAATAAATAGCAACGCGCACCAGACTAGCCGGTGTGATCATGCGTTTTGTGCAATTCAGCCC